AAATCAATAGCAAATCACTTAAAAAGTCGAATATATTTGGTAAAATGTAATTTTCATTTTTTTTAGCGTGTTTCGTAATTTGAATTATACCGTCCAAAAAAAAAAAAATATCCCCTAAAAAATCTGGTATATAAGGTACGATCAATAAAGGAACCGAGTCAACTCGGCTGAGTCGGTGTTCAGAACTCACCCACGACGCGACACTGGTCGCAATAAACGGATCTGGATCTGGCAACGTCCTCCTCCACGACGTCGAGGCAGACGACGGCGGGCCCGCCGTCGCCTCCGGCGAGATCGCCGACGCGGAAGAGGATCTGCCAGGTGAGCAGGTGAGGGAAGAGCGACGATGGGGGAGGGAGGAGCGCGTGCTTCGTCAGGAAGGCCCTTACCGCCGTCCTGAACGGGTTTACGGCGACGGAGGACGAATCCTGGTCACCAGCGGTAGGGAAAGTGAGGAAATCGCTGAGATCGGCGGTGACACGCCGCTTGACCAGTCTCTTCGTTGGCCTACCGTTCACCACCATGGTCATTCCCCTGAGATCAGATCCCGGCGCGTGGGGTGCGTGTTCTCAAATCTTCGTCTCAGATCTGGATCTGCTTCAGATCGGACGGCGAATAGTAGAAAATAAAAATAATAACTTAAAATTAAAAAGGACAGAGAAGTAAAATAGAAACAAAAATCGACGAGAAAAATGAAAAATAAAGAGAGAAAAACGCAGAGCGTAGGGTTTGGGTGGAAAAATTTGGGGACTATTTTGTACTTTTAAATGTATTTCATTTTCTCGGGCGTCGTGTAATTTCGGGAAATAGTTAATTTCGGGCTTGATTATAAGTAGGAAATGCCAATTCTATCCTTAGGAAAAATCTAATCGGTTTACATAAAAAAAAAAAATTATAGATTGATCAAAGGTGGTGGTCATCGATATTTCCATGTCCACTCGGACTTGTGGATTTTTAGAACAAAATGTAATTTAGTTATGAGAATTGTCTTTTGTTTGGGACTCTTAATTCATTTTTATGTTCAATTCTTCAATAGAAATGTTAATAAAATTCATAGGGCCGGGGTTATTTGCGTGTTACTCGCATTTTTGGGTTGGGTAAACCCAAGATATTCGGGTTTCGAGTATTATTATGCTACCCGAACCTCGGGTCAGGTCGGGTTCGGTAGAAAAACTTGTTATCAGACTCGATTACCCTACCAATTTACCTGCATGCATTGGATCTTATACGTATATCTACAATAAAAAATTAAATACTTAATTTTAAACGTTATATTATTAACTAGACTATAAAATATAAACAATTACCCCTTAATGTTTATTCCCAAAATAATATAGGAGTTCTTTTAGTTATTTTATTGTCAAACTTAATTATATATATTGTTAGTTACATTATAAATAATTGTGAAATTATTTTATTTTACACATGAAGCGGGTCGAATTGTGTTGGGACCAGGTAAAGCCCCCGTTTACCTGACGATTAATACACGATAAACCGTCGGGTAAAAGCCCAACCCGAACCTGAAAGTCAATAATCGGGTAACGGGTCGGGTTCAGGTATGTAAATTATATGCGGCTTGGGTTCGGATTTGTCAAAACGCGCAGCCGACCCGACCCATTTACATCCCTTTTCTTCAACTTGTAATTTTTTTTTTGAGAAAACACTATAGGGGTGGATGTCGGATCTCCAATCTATATACAGTCAAGACCTTAAATAGGTCAAAAAGCCACAGGTCTACATGTCCAAACAAAAACTAAAAACAAAAAAACCATACAACCAAAATGAAAGTATGAACCTGGGCTAAAGGTGTCCGGACATAGTCTACTCCACAAAGAGGGTCTGAGCACGAAAATACAAGTCGGCTACTAAAATCGAAACGAGGGGTAGCCGACCTAATCCATCCTCACAAGAGGACGAGGCGGAGAGGGGCGTCATCCAGGTGGAAAGTACGCCTCTGTGGGGTGGAGGCGCCAAGGTTGGTTAAGTAATCAGCAGGTCGGTTCCCCTCGCGGAAGATGGGCAAGATTCGGTAGCGAACCGAATGAAATGTGGATCTTATGTGCATGAGCGGGTGATAAATCTGCCACGAGCCCTGGTGGTCGGAGGTCAATAGGGTGGCGACAGCAACAACATCCAACTCTATCCAAATGTGAGTAGAGATAAAAGCTGCAATATGAAGATCGATTTGAAGCGTTTGAACCTCCCTGTCGTAGCTCGAGGAGGTCTGAAGAGAGACGTGGAATGCGGTAATGATATCTCTACTGTGGTCCCTAATAAGGCCCCCGCCTCCTGCGGCTCCGGTAAGTCGGTCGAAAGATCATTTAGTGTTTAGCTTAACCCAAGGAGACTCGAGTCTCAGCCAACAGCGGCTTTGGAGCGTGGGTGTTGGACAAGCAGTAACGGAGATGGTACAAAGTGGTGGGGCGACGTGCAGCCTGTCCAATCTCTAGGTGTGAGTAGGGCTGCAAACGAGCCGAGCCGAGTCGAGCATTGGCCTTATCGAGCGGATTGACTTTTTTTTTAGGTGCTCGAGCTCGAGCTCGAGCTCGTCGAGCTCGATTTTTGGTGCTCGAGCTCGACTCGATCAAAACATACAAGAGCTCGAGCTCGACTCGAGCTCGACTCGAATTCATAATGCCCGAGTTCGGCTCGAGTTCGGCACGAATTTTTTCAAGAAATTTTGTAAAATAACCATTAATTACATATATATACAAGGGTATTTTAGTAATTTCACATATCTCGATCCGCTCGCGAGCCGCTCGACAATGCAATATATGAGCTCGAGCTCGACTCGAGTTCGTGCTCGAGCCGCTCGAGCTCGACTCGAGATCGGTCAAACTCGAGCTCGAGTCGAGCGCTCGCGAGCGGCTCGCGAGCTGCTCGACTCGTTTGCAGCCCTAGGTGTGAGTCTACCCAGAGTTGTGAGGAGAGAGAGATGTCGATCAACCCGCAAAACAATGTGAGAGCATATAAAAGTAATTTCCATATGTTTCGCACTATTTCTTTTGTCCAGATGAACCAAGGGATCAAATAAGGAATAAGGAAACTCACGTGTCTAAAGTGTGTGCGTTGTGAGAAAAAACTCAGGAGCAAAAAAATTGTCTGCATTGGGTAGGACTATATGAGTATGTGTAGCTAAATGCCTTCACACTCCTCGCAACCTCGCTCTCTAAAAACAAGTGGAAAAAAGTCTAAGTGTGGAAACCACCGGACTCGACACACCAATAACACCACGAGGGGAAGGAAATCTCCTCGTCTGCAACACAAAGTTGATTGGAATCCGACGCAGAAGAAGGCACCAAAGAAATACATAGATTCTCGGGGTAAGTAGGTCCGTCTAAATGGCCCCGAAGAAATGGTTAGGATGATCACCCAGTCGTACTTCCCTCAAGCCATAAGCTGTATTTTGGCCTTCAAATGCGTTCATTCTTATTCGCACACGTCCCAAAATGTGCTTTTTGATACATAAATCTACTGGAGGTACTTTTCTACATCTTTAAATAACCACATACATAAATCATTGAAAAATATACTTGCAATTTAAGAGCTATTGCATTACCTTTTTCACAGTTCATATAACATATTGTGTTCTTTGATTTTTGTAGAGTCTTAGATAATAGTATTGTTTGGCGAAGGCTTGCATATTTGAAGTACCGTTATATATATAGAAGTCAAAAGTCGTTGTATCTTATACGAGAATTTTTTTAAGGAAAACGTAACTATTACGTGGCTCGACTTTGTTTTATATATATCATTTTCTTCATTCTCCTTAAACCATCTTCTTGATATTCACATTCCCAACACAAACAACTATAAGATGTATCTATTTTCCCTAAGGGCTTGATTGTTTATAAAATAATTTGCTCAAAGTGAGTTATTTTAGTAACTATAGTTAATTTTGAAAAAGTAGTATGGTTAGTTGTTAATAGAATCTTAATATTGTATTAAAATAATATTTAAAATAAAATGATTAAAATTGATTTGATATAAAAGTAAACGATAAATGATTGGAAATGATTGAAAATGATAGGTAGTTAAAAATATGTGAGTGAGTGAATAGTGAATTAAAGTTGATGTGATGTGTAAGAATGATTGGTCTGTATTATTTAATTATATGAATAATATTAAAGATAGTGGAGTTAAAGTTGAGCATGCTTGTTTATAATTTTTTTTGGTTTTGATTGGGTTTTTTATTTGGGTTGGTTAAATTTGAAAAAGTTGGTATGATTAATTGTTAGTGGGTATATTAAAATAATTTTTAAAATAAAATGATTAAAATTAAATTGATGTAAAAGTAGGAAAGATAAGATGTGATGTGATGGTTAGTTAAAATTATGTGAGTAGATGAATAGTAAATTAAGGTTGATGTTGTGTGTAAGAATGATTGATTGATATTATTTAATTATATTGATGATAGTGGGTTGAGTTAAAGTTGAGTTAAAAAAAGTGATTGAGTTAAAAATGATTGGATTTTTTTGGATTGGTTTTATAAACAAGCATCCCCTAAGGTTTTCGTTTTCATAATATATTTAAACTTTTGCTATAATCTCTGCAGTATACATTTGTTCTATGAGTTTCTTTGAAAATCCTTCTTTCCAGGATTAATTTAAATTTTCCAGGAACAGAAAAGTATGGTCTTTTTTTCAAGTAAACTCATGCAACAATAACAAAATCAAGACAAGGTGAAATTTGGCACAAAAAATCACCATTCATCCCAAAAGCTTTGTACCAAACTTGTGAGAACCACACCCACATTAATCTGCAAGACTTTATATGTTGAGTCAAAATGGGCAATTAAGCCCACTTTCTTTGAAGGTGCCAAGGAAGAAAATAAAAGAAAGGCAGCAGCACACATGTGTGGAAAAATGAAGCTTTCTTTTGTGAAAAATTTACAGCACAACTTTGTTGAAAAAAGGGGTTCACTTTTCTTCTATAAATAGATGAAACTTGATGAATGTAAAACACAACAACCAAAAACATAACAAGAGAGATAGAGAGGAAGAAAGAGTAGAGAGAGTGTATTCATACGGGCTTGTGTGAGTTGTAACATTCGGTTTATCCTCTTATTCTAGTTCATTCTCCTGGCTTGGTTCGCCCCCAGACGTAGGATTTAATCCGAACTGGGTTAACAAATATTCGTGTCTTTTATTGATTTTACATTGGTGTATTATTATTATTCCATCTTATCCGACCTTATTTCCCAACAACTGGTATCAAAGACAGGAGGTTGGAGATAAGATGGAGGGAAAGATTCCAGTCGAACGGTTCAATGGTTCTGACTTTGGATTCTGGCGAATGCAAATGGAGGCTTACCTGTACGGGAAGGACCTCTACGCACCTCTTGGGGAAAAGCCCGAGAAAATGAGCGATGATGAATGGAATGTGCTCGATCGGAAGGCGATGAGCGCCATAATTCTTTCGCTCTCTCGAAACGTCGCCTACCATGTGAAGGGAGCAAAAAGCACGAAGGAGGTCTTGTAGACCCTTGCCGACATGTATGAAAAACCATCAGCAATAAACAAGGTGATGC